AGAGGCTCTCTGAGGCTGCCACGACAAGGAATTGTTCGATTTGTCCGGATTTTGGTGACGCACCCTGTATATGTATAAAACAGTTCAGTGAAGTTGATATTTAACAATACTATTTTTACTATTTTATAATTTAAAGGACTTTTCTTATTTTATCTTAATTATTTTTAAAAAAACATATCTTGTTGAAATATAACATTAAAAATCTCTACTTTTTATTAAAATAATTCTTCATTCAAATTCTAAATCGCTGCTAAACTTCTTCTATTACTTTCACACACATACAGAATGTACAGAATACGTACAGAATGTAGAAAAATCTAATTTCTTCATAATTTCATTTTATCAATAAAATATGTGTAACACATCTTTCAACTCAATTTTTGCTCAAAGTTTAAGGATGTTACTACTATTCGGACTGTTCAGAGATGTACCGAGATCATTCGGTATGCTATCGACGACTGTCGAGCGGAGAGAAATGCGGATGTATTGGACCGGGCAGGTCCAGGCGCAGCAGCCGGTTGCGCTCGTAAAACCAAAAGCATTGTTAGCGGAGTGTCCAATGTTCGTTCGCTGGACGTTGTTAAGAGAATGAGACAAGCGGCATACACATCCCACACAACAGCATTCCACGCGCGCGCGCACACACGACACACACACACGCACACACACAAAACACACTCACACGTACACGTACAAGAGCGAGATATCTCACGCTGCATCGTAAAGCGCGCAAATAAACCGAACTCAAGTCAAACGAGCGAAACTCAAACGAGAGACGGGGACACGGCGGCTGTTTTAGGTATTGCTGAGGGGCAGAAGAGTGATAGGAGGGGGTGGTTTCAAAATCGTAAAACCGTGTCGCGAACGCCATAACGAATGCAATGCGGAAATTCGCCGGCTAAATCCCAGAACGAGCGAAGGAGAGCGAAAGAGCGATAGCGAAAGAAAGAGAGAGAGAGAGAGAGAGAGAGAGAGAGAGAGAGAGAGAGCGCAAGAGAGCGAAGGTTTAAGGCAGAAACGGAGAGGAGAATGAACGGTCGAATGGCATGTATATATTCACCGAACTTTCTCGACTAATCCGCCAAGCTTTATGAAGCTCTTCTCGAGACAGGCATAAATTCACGTGAATCTGCTGTTATTGTAGACGACAGGAAACCGTATAGAAAAGCGACCGTATTTTCCATTGCGCGCATTTGCATCACGTTATTTTGAATTCGAAAGCATGATAGGTGCGAGAAGAAAATGTCTGCGAAATCTGAGGGAGGAGAAATTCGTCGCACCTTGCGATATCCTTTATTTTACGAGAACCATTCGTTCGTTAATTATCTCCTATATTTTTATCACGTTGATAATACAATAAATTTGTATCGTCTCAAAATGATTTCAAGTCAGGGACTCTTCATTTCTGTAAACGCATTATTCAAATATGTATAAATCGTTGTGAATAACACGGTGTGCTTGATCGTTATAACGAGAAGCGCAAGAAGCAGGTAGAGAAGGTTAACAAGATAACACAAAACGTTATAGATAAAAAAGAGAAAGAGAGAAAGAAAGGTTGGAGGTAAGGCTATCGTGATTGAAATTCAGTACGCAAGTATTCGGGAATATGTGTGGTTAAAAGGCGATGTGTAACGCAACAGAATCAGTGTCAAAACGGAAGGAAACGGTTAGGAAACGGAAGTGAAAACGGTGTTTAACGGCGTGTTCTCCAACAATTAATGGACGATTGTAATGTTAGCTCAATCCAAAGTCCAAAAGGAGGACGATTATGCAGCACGTTTAAAGGAAGTAGAAGATGATGACAAAGATAGAAATGTAAGTATATAGATAGATAGAAATA